CTCGATGACATAAACGGTATTGAAGAATTTATACAATACAAACTAATAACACAACCTACACATCACCAAATACAAGGCTGGCATGTTCAGAGCTATACCCAACTCAACATTCTATAGCCACAGAATATACGCATTCAGGAACACTTCAAAACTGAACAAAATCAAACCTAACTCAAACAGAACTATGGAAAGAATGGGCAGACGAATACAAACCAACTCAAACAATAGATCCAACATGGTATAATACAAAGATCACACTCTCTAAACTAGAAACTATAATTAAAGAAACACCCAACACAAAGGCTACTGGGCCCTCAAAAATATCAAATGAAATGTTAAAACATCTAGACCTCCAAGCGAAAGCCATAATCTTAAATCTATTAAACAATTATCTAATACTACATGATGTACCAACTGCATGGAAATATAGTACAATATACCCTATATTAAAAAAATCAACATTTATAGGAGATCTAAACCAAACACGCCTAATTATACTAATCGAATATACTAGAAAAATCCTTATAAAAATCATTGTACGAAGACTTGATCCCATCCTATCCAAATACAGCATATCAAATCCTAACAACTATGTAGCCCTAGTAAACACCTCCACTGCAACACCAATATATACACTTCAACATATAATAGAAGACGCTCAAATAAACAAAAAGAACTATGGCTATTATCGCAGAACATGAGTAAAGCTTACGACTCAGTACACATACCACTTTTAATCAAAGCACTACATCGTATTAAAATATCAAAACCTATAACAAATATCATAAACAATATACTTTCCCATAGACACAATAATATCATTACAAACTATGAACTAACCAACAACTATCACATTCAAGACGGAATAGATCAAGGGGAAACCATAACCCCACTACTATGGAGAATATACTATGACTCCTTGCTAACTCGGATCAACAAAAACTACTCCACATACACAATAAACACAACAACACTACAATCACAGAAAATACAAACACATAAAATAACACAAATATAGCAGATACACAAACACAGCTACCAATAAACAAAACACATGACCTAACATCTAATACAGGAAATAATCCCAAAACAACAGCTATGCAGGTAGATATAGAAAATACAACATCTACAACCTATGATTGAAATAAAACAGAAAACCAAAACATCAACATCTAACAAAAATCATACAGCCATGTACTACAACAAAATATCTCCCAACAAGATCAAATGCAAATAAATGAGGAAGCACTACATGAGCAAACACAAAGTTGGATTAACATATACTCCAAGAACTAGACAACCAAAACCAAAACAAGTTCGACTACAGGATTTGGCCAATAGACAAAATAATTACAGCACTCGA